GATAAGATGAAAAAGTGGTTGAACTATGACATTACCCCCTCTCTAGGGTTGATGTCCACATCGACTCGGCCAATGGGTGTGAAGACATTTTTGTAAGGGTCGAAGAGTTGTTGTTGTGGGTATGGAAGGTGCTTGTCTCTGGGTTTGTAGCGATGGATAAGGTAGTCCCAGTGCCCAGCTCGGAGTATTGGCACAGCGCGAATGCGGGTGTCGGGGTTTGATTGTTTTTTCTCCCAGGCTGCCAGGACTTTCTTTGCGTGAGTGAGATGACGTGATGGTTCCCATGTGTTCTTGCTGTGCGGCCATCCCTTCCATTTGACCAAGTATTGTTTCCCTCAGCCGACCTTCCGTTCCTTCACAATTTTTTTGACTTCCCACTCTTCTGCTCCTCCGATCATCTTGGCTACAGGTCTCTTTTCTCGGCAATGGGGTGGTGGTTTGTGGTAGGGTGTCAATAGTGACTCGTTGAACACTGGGTGTCTTTGGTCCGTATCCGGCAAATCTAAGATAGCCGACATCCAGATCCATCGAGTCACGTGGCTCAAAGAGTGACAGCAACAACGGTGAACGAGGGTTGAGAATTTTTATAAACTAAACATACAGAAATGTAGTCTATAGCCTCCTTGAGACTTCTATGGTTCCACATTTCCCTCTCTCTTGTAATTTAAGAAAAGTCTTCGAATATTTTGCGCAATCACGTGCTAGATATATGTAAGCAGTCAGGTGATCAGATCTCGATCACGTGTGGTTCATATCAATCCCTTTTCGTCGCGATAGTGGCCATCTGTCGACTCTAATCAAGATGCCGAAGAGGAAAGCCAATGGCAGGATCAAGAACCTGGGCTCATACGCCAAGGAGGGGGTCTCAAAGCCACCCAAGCGACCACGCACGGACTCGGAACCAGTGTCACAGGCATGCAGCGATGAATCTGGGCAGGAGGATGGTGTTGCAGAGGGGAAGACAGACAGTGGGGATGACGACTCGGGAGACGAGCTGCTGGATATTGAGGTCGAAGATGATGTGCCGCGGCCAAAGGATGAGAAGAGTCTGCAGGGATGGCTCAAGATTATGGCGGATCGTCTCCAGAGCTTGTGTAACTGCGCACCTAATCATCTGAGAGGCCAGTATGCAACCAATAAACTTGACAAAGCTCCTGAAAAACGCACCGTTCAGCACCACGCGAAGCAGAAACGGGACCAGGCTCAGAGAGAGGCGAGAGAGGACCAGCGGCTTGGCTTGAAGTTGGGGTCTCTCCTCATGTTCTTCAAGCCACGGACTTTGGTGCCATCATCTGTGTCAGAGCTGTCAGTTTCTGGGGTTGAGCCGGAGGATTCAGACATGGAAATGAACGATGTTGAGCTATTGGAGATCACGGAGACGACGGAGACAACACAGGCTGTTGAGCCAATGCAGTCTATGCGACCCCCACCACGACCTTCTGTCGAGGAAGTGCCGGAAGATGAAGACCTTCTTGATTGCGCAGAGCCAGCAGTTCTTGATGATCTCGAATGAGCGGAGGAGGGCTTGGATGACATATGGGATCCCTCTGAAAAGCGTTTGTCAGGATACGAGAGGAATGGCACACCTTCTCACAAGCCCCCCAACCCTTCCCGACCACTGCCGCCATCTCCACCTCCACCCGACGATCCACCATCCAGCGACACTCCTCGTCCTGTTCATGGCCCATCCTCATCGCCTCCGTGGCTTCCAAGCACACCAGGTCGATTCTTCCGGCACAAAACGCACGGCTTTGTCCTTCCAGAGAGGCAGCAAATCAAGAAGGTCCCGCGCGCCGTTCCAAGCAACACGTCCATTGACGCCGGGATATCGAAACTGCAGGACTTGCTGCATCCACGATGGGCCAAGGGGCAAGGGCATTCGAAATCGAAACTGGACCTGGTGTCAGGGGAACCCCCGCTTCGGACCGCTCTGCCTTCGATCAGGCATGTGATCGCGCTTGCGTGACCTGTCAGCTGTCACGCGCCGCGGCCCGGACTGCCGCGCCAAGCGCTTCTCTCTGATGGGCACATGGTCAGCTGTCCCATCGTTCCCACTGTCTCGGTTTCCTATTGTTCTCCAATGGCCATTGTACTTATTGTTCCCATTGTTCTTTGTTTGTCGCTGCGCGCTCTATTGTTCTTGTATCATATAAATAGTGGCGCCTGGCAAGGAGAATCCCCAACACGGTTTCTCTTTGGATTCTCCCTTGCCAGGTATGCCGGTGAAATGCTGAGGGCGCTGTGACAATCAACCCAAAAACAAAGTCGAAAAGAGAAGTGAATTCGAAGACTGGAGAATACAACCAAGTAGCTACAGTATTTATACCCAAATCCAGTCTGAGTCATATCTACAACTAATGAGTCATAGGGCTATGTACCGCATGGAACGCTGGTCATGGGTCGTAGTAGAACCTTCTGGAGCATATGTCGCGCAGCCTCGAATCGATGAAGATAATCCCTGGAACCCCTAGTCCGGGCCGTCTGATGCCGTGATCCGTGATAAGATAAGTCGTGTCAAGATAAGATAAGATCGTCGATGATAAGATGAAAAAGTGGCCGAACTATGACATTACCCCCTCTCTAGGGTCGATGTCCTCATCGACTAGGCCAATGGGCAAGAAGACGTTCTCGTAAGGGTCGAAGAGCTGTCGTTGGGGATATGGAAGGCGCTCGTCCCTGGGCTTGTAGCGATGAATGAGATAGTCCCAGTGTCCAGCTTCGAGCGTTGGCAGGAGGCGAATGCGTGTGTCTGGATTTGATTGTTTCCTCTGCCAGTCTCTCAGGACGTCCTTCGCGTGGGTAAGGTGACGTGATGGTTCCCAGGTGTTTTCGCTGTGCGGCCATCCCTTCCATTTGACCAAGTACTGTTTTCCTCGGCCGACTTTTCGCTCTTTCACGATTTCTTCGACTTCCCACTCCTCTGCTCCTCCGATCATCTTGGCCACGGGTCTCTTCTCTCGGCGATGGGGGGGTGGTTCGTGATAGGGTGTCAACAGTGACTCGTTGAACACCGGGTGTCTTCGGTCCGTGTCCGGCAAATTCAGCTTCCATGCAGCCGCTCCGACCTTCTCCAGTATCTCGTATGGCCCCAATCTCTTGTCGCTCATCTTCTTCAAAGGCCTGTCTGTCTCGATATTGTCCCCCTCTATGTACACCTTCATCCCCACCTTCAACTCCGGAACTTCTTTTCTTTGTTTATCGTAGTATTTTTTCATTTTTTCTTTTGCTTTTTCCAATGCTGCTTTTGCTTCGTCTTGTATTTCTTTGATTCTTTTTACAAATTCCTCCGCCGACTCGTTCCTTGATTCCATCCGCTGCTCCACTCCCTTCCATGGGTGATATCCGTGATTAGCATAGAACGGCGACATTTTGGTAGACGTGTTCATTTTGTTGTTGTATGCGAACTCCGCCATTCCCAGCCACTCCGACCAGTCCGTCTGATGGTAGTTGACGTAAATGCGGAGATAGTGTTCGATCTCCTGATTCATACGCTCCGTCTGCCCATCCGTGATGGGGTGATATGCGGTCCCCGGATTCATTTCCACGCCCAACATCCGATTCGTTTCCTTCATAAAGCCCTTGATGTATCGAGAGTCCCTGTCGGTGATGATTTTGCGGGGGACCCCGTGATAGCGGAAGATTCGGTCCCTGGTTAACCGTGCTACTCCTTTGCTGCTGATGTCAGTACTAATTGGTTCGACATGGATCATTTTGGTGAAGGTGTCACACCACACATGAATTGCGTCATACCCGTTACTGACCGGCAGGGGTCCGATCTGATCCATGGAGATGATTTCCCACGGCGCGTTTGGAACTGCATGCGGGTGCAAACTCCCTGTCCTGGCTCTTCTGGTCTTGGTCCGCTGGCACGCCTCGCACGTCTGGATGTATTTCCGAATTTGGTTTCCCATCCTTGGCCACCAGTAGTTCCTTTCCACCATCTCCTGCGTTCGGTTGATCCCAGCGTGTCCGACCAAAGGTGTGTCGTGGTGTAGTCCGATGATCTTGTCTCGTAGCTCCTCATTCCTCGGCACGTAGAGCTTCCCATGGTACGTGATGAGCCCATCTTCCTTTTTCCATCCGACGAGTGACTTCTCCAAGGCCGCTTTGACGCTTCCATCAATTGATCGAGTAGCCTTGATCTCATCGATTAGCTGCTGATCTTGCCCCTCGAATGTGACTTCTTGTGACCGGAAGAATTCGGGTTTCAGCAGAGTGATATCCTTGTTGTCGTTCTTGCCCTGATCGTGATCCGCTCGTCGAGATAAGAGATCCGCCTTGCGGTTGAGTGCGCCGGGTCGGTGTCGTAAGGTGAAATCGAATTCTGCTAATTCTGTGATCCATCGTGCTTGTCGTTGGTTGAGCTTTTGTGGCTTCCGGAAGTATTCGAGGTTCTGATGATCAGTGAAGATCTCAAACGTTTCTGTGGCCCCCAAGAGTAGCTGCCTCCATTCGTCGAGCGATAACATGATTGCAAGCATTTCCTTGTCGTAGATCTCGTAATTTCGCTCGGTTTCCGTTAATGCATGCGAAATAAATGCAATTGGGCACCAAATGCCGTCTTGGTTTTGGCTCAAAACAGATCCTGTTGCCCCTTCCGAAGCATCGGCTTCCAGACGATATTGACCGGTGTCATTTGGCAGTGCTAAGACCGCATCCTCCGCGATTCTCTTCTTTAACCCATCAAACGCCGCATGTTCATCCGGACCCCATGACCATCCTGCCTTCCCTGTCAGCCGCGTCAACGGCTTGGCGACCTCCGCATATCCCCGAACAAAACGTCGATAGAAGTTTGTGAATCCGAGGAAGGCTTGGACTTGTTTGACGCTCTCTGGTTCCGGCCATTCCATCACGCCCTTGATCTTGACAGGGTCCATCCGCATCGAGTTGTGTCCAATGATTACACCCAGGTATTCGATTTCCGTGCGTTCGAACTCGCACTTTTCCGGCTTCAGGTATAATTTGTGCTTTTGGAGCAACTCGAGTACCCGTTTGGTGATTCATCGATGTTCATCCAGATTTTCTGTGAAGATTAGTATGTCGTCCAGATAAACTACCACATGTCCCTCGTTGATCAGTTCCCGGAGTATGTCGTTCATCATGTTTTGGAAAGTTGCCGGGGAATTCGTGAGACCAAAGAACATAACCAAGGGCTCGTAAAGTCCGCGGTTTGTGCGAAACGCAGCCTTCCACTCATCGCCCTCTTTGATCCGTACGTTGTTGTATCCCCACCGGATGTCTAGCTTGGTGAAGAACTTGGCGCCGCACAGGTTGTGGACCAGTTCGGAAATCAGCGGTAGCGGGTACCGATTTCGGATCGTCATCTCATTCAGCTTCCGGTAATCTTGAACAGGCCGTAGCGAGCCATCCTTCTTCTTGACAAAGAAGAATGCCGATGCCATGGGTGATTTTGATGGCCTGATTCGTCCGCTGGCTAGGTTCTCTTGTAAGAACTCGTCGAGTTTGACCTGCTCGTTTCTCGATAAGGGGTACACCTTGCAGTCCACTGCTTTGGAGCCTGGTTTGAGCTCGATCGCATGATCCCATGCCCGTCGGTCCGGTAGCGAGTCGAATGATTCCTTGGCGAATACTTTGACGAATTCTTGGTATTGATCTGGAATCTTTCCCTCGGTCATTCTCTCCTTCTCCTTTTCCGCTTCTTCTGCGAATTTCTGCGCCGGCGTTTCCTTCAGCCGTAGGTCTACCTCCTTTCCAAAGTCGACCAACAAGATCGATTCTCCCTCTTCCAGATTCGGTGCACCCGCGTCCAGGTCAATTGCATCCATGTCGATCATTGCTTGGTGCTCCTCGTGACCCCTCATTTGACATTGCTCTGGGCATCGGCTGAATCTCATTGTCTGCTCCTGCCAATCCACCTCGGGGTTGTGTTCCGTCAGCCAATCCAGGCCGATGAAGATCCGGGCTTTTCCCAGACACGTCAGAAGGAACGTGCGTGTCTCCACATGAGGACCGATTCTCATTCTCAAGTCGACGTAGTGCGTGATCCGACCGCTGATGTTCTCGGTGTTGTCGGCGTTACGAGCCACAATGGGTTGCGGAAGCTCTTGGATATCCAGCTTTTCTGCCCGTGCGTAGTCGGTGTCGATGCAGCAGGTACTGCAGCCACTATCGAGCAGCGCCTTGACTCCACGCGTTTTCCCTGAGTCCAGGCCCGTGATCTGGACATATACGTCCATCGAATGCCTCTTTCTTTCGGCTTGGTAACTGCGCAATTCCTGCGCCAATCTGCTGGGCTGGGGGCCCCTCTGTTTCTCGGCCGCCAATTTCCTCTGGATGGCATCTGGCACCCTGGTGCGTTTGGGTGCTTCTGGAACCTCGATTTTGGCAGATTCCTTGGGCGCTTCCTCCTTTTCCAAGGATCGAGCCTTTGGAGCGATGCTCCCCTTTTCGGTCTTTGTTGACGTGGTTCCTTCTCCACGAGCCATAAATACGTAAGAGTCCAAAAATAATTTATCCGCAGCTGCTATCTTCCGATCCTTTTTATCTTGTAAATATTTTCTATTTAGAGCTATCTTTTCCTGGCGTTCTTTTTCCATCTCGGCAATAAGAAAATCGTGAATATTTGTACGTAGTGAGTCTGAGATCGTGTATGTAGATGAAATATTGTCCGTATCTTTAATCGAAACAAGTACAGAAAATCGTCCATAGTCCGGACGCTCCACCTCCTTGGCTAGAGGAGTGGAGCGCTTCAAAAACCCTTCTCGCGCAGCTTCTCGGCAATCTCCTTCAGGAACTCGTTGTCCTTGTCCCCGTTCTCGATTTCTTCCAGCATTGTGGCCCGATTGAAGAACGTGCGCTTCTTCTTGGGCTCCGGGCAGTTCCGCGCAATGTGCCCGGGCTGCTGACAGTTGTAGCAGATGATATTGCGGCCGCGGGCGTGGGTACGATCGATTTCCATCGGAACCGGTTCGTTGGCAGCGGGTCGGGCCGGAGCGGGTGTGGGCGTCACTGGTGCCGTTTGGGGACGGAACTGGGGAGGTGGTCGTTGTGTGGGGTGCCCATACGACGCTTTGCGCAGCTGGTCACGCAGAGCATTGGCTTCGATGTTGATGCACCAGGCTTTGAACGCTCCATAGGCCTTGGGCAGAGGGACACCGGTGTTGTAGAGATGACTGGCGATCTCGCTGCTGAGTCCGCGCTCCAGGAACTCGATGAGGATATTATCCTGGTCCCCCTTCTTGTATTCGCCTTTGTCGTCGGTGGTGTCAACCACATTGTAGCCTGCATCCGCGGCCAACATCTCAAAGTCAGAGATGTAGTCCGCGAAGGACCGTTTGTTTTGACGCAGGGCCATAAGCCGAGCAGCGGCGACTTGTTCCGCATTGGAGTCCCCGAACGCCCTCTGAAGCTCCTCCAGGAAGTTCTTTGATGTGACTCCTGCCTTCAGTCCCTGGAAGCCCTCGAAGTTGTGCTGCTTCCAGTTCATCGCCCATCTCGAGGCAGCGCAGCTCGTGCCGTTCTCGTTACGGAGGTAGGAGAGGACAAAGAGGATTTTAGTCTCATCTTGTGAGAACTCCGATCAATAGGCACCGATGTAAGTGGTGCACGCGTCCACAAAGCCCAGGTATTTGGACTTGTCGCCATCGAAGTAGGGGGGGTTGGCGGCGAGGGTGATGCGGTGATGCCCTGACATGGTAGGGGCAGGCGTGTGAGGTGGAGGCGAGGGTGGTTGTTCGGAGGGCAGTTCGTCGAGGTCGGGGATCTCGTCTTCAGGCGGTGGGAGGGCGAGGTAGGGGTTGGAGGGTCCGGGTTGGTTTTGATGCGCCAGATCGGGCGACGATGGTACGATGGGGGGAGGGGACGGACTCCCAGACGACGATGGGAATCGGTACGAAATGGTGGAATCGTGTGCTGTACAAGCACTCGAGGGAGGGTTCTTTTGCTAGCAAAAAGATCCCGGGCCTAGCTCTTCACGTGCCCAATGATCCCGAGGTGCGTTTTCCCGAAGGTCTCCGCAGCACTCCTTGTAGCTACCGTAAGGCTTGGGTCGGGCTCAACGTTACCCGTGGCCTGGTGCTGTTTGCTTGATATGAACCCTTCACTGCGATAGTGGAGGACGACTAGATGATTCGGTAAAAGGGTGAGTGGGGTGATAAGGGTTAAGAGGATATAGCGGGCGTAGCGGTGCACGATGCAGGGTAAGAGGTATGAGGTAGGAGGGTATGAGGGGAGTCTTCGAATTATGTGACAATCAACCCAAAAACAAAGTCGAAAAGAGAAGTGAATTCGAAGACTGGAGAATACAACCAAGTAGCTACAGTATTTATACCCAAATCCAGTCTGAGTCATATCTACAACTAATGAGTCATAGGGCTATGTACCGCATGGAACGCTGGTCATGGGTCGTAGTAGAACCTTCTGGAGCATATGTCGCGCAGCCTCGAATCGATGAAGATAATCCCTGGAACCCCTAGTCCGGGCCGTCTGATGCCGTGATCCGTGATAAGATAAGTCGTGTCAAGATAAGATAAGATCGTCGATGATAAGATGAAAAAGTGGCCGAACTATGACAGGCGCGCTCACAAGTGGATCTACTATGAAAGTAAACCCAAATATAAACACGTTCACACTCCTCGTAATCAGCTTCTCAGTGTGTGAAAGATGTGAGGGCTTCGGGGTGGACAGAGCACCAGTATCACAACTCTCAATAGACGCAGATCCAATAGTCGCGGAGACGAAGTCGACGACAAGGATATATATATATATAGCAAAACAATGGTATCTCAACCAATATCTTCTATACGAACACAATCAACACTAATCCAATCCACAACAACAATATAACAAGTCAGAGCTTAATACGAAGTATTAAGATCCCTTGTAGCGACAGCGTCCAGACGGTGACGCAAAGCCCAAATATCAAGTTGACGCACTGCCAACCAATGCAACCAATATGCCGCGTCGACGCACTGCCAACTAACAGCCAATATCCAATGTCCAAAACCCGAGCACAACTTGTCGACGCACTGCCAAGCAAGAAGTGTGGAACCAAAGTTCTCAAGTCGACGCACTGCCAACTGACCAAAACAACCCGAGCACAACTAGTCGACGCACTGCCAAGCTAGAGGTGTGGAACGATCTCAACAAAGCCCGAAGGCGACGACACTAAATGCCGCGACTAAACCAGATGCGGCGAATCCGACTTTCTGATGTCTCAAAACTCAAAACTCAAATCACAGTAGCTACAAGTGCTCAGGGAGCAACTCGTCGCGACCGGGCAGGGGTAGCAGAACTTCGTAGGGTGGAATCACGCGGCACGCAAATTGTACAAAACAATCTGATATGAGAGTGATTCACAGTCCGGGGAAAGCTTCCTAATACAAAGAAACGTCGTGCTACTTATACTGTCTACGACGATGCTTAGTAAAGTCCTGTACAACTGCATAGTAGCTACGCTATCTAAGATCGGTTGCCTTTTAGGGTAATTGAAAAGTTGAACGATCGGACAGGTCCTGAGTGATCAGGACCCCGCCCCATTGTCCATATGATACTTTTGATGTGGGTCAACCCACCGCGTCATACTTTGGAATACGACGTGCTGGATTGGCCAACGGGTATGTCTTGGCAAGTGAGACCAACGTGGGCGCCCCAAGAAGCCGTATGGCCCTAGGCACGCCAGTCGTCCCCCACATGGTTCGGTTCACGGATCTTACCGTGTCGGTTTCTAGTGTGTTTGGGTATGGGCGCGACTCGCCGTGACACTTGGAAGTGTCACCGCGACGCGTCCACAATGTCCCGTGATTGAATGGATCCTGACATGTGACAAGTCGTCGTCGTGGCATGATCTGAGGAAACGTCCAACTCAAAACTGGGAGTTGCCGCGACAAGATGGTTTAAGTCTCGTAACGCCAAGTCCTGTCCAGTAGTAGTTCTATTATTGAGAACGTCGCGCATTGCTCAGCCCTTCAGCCCAAGTTCCCATCTGCAGAGAATGACCCTTTTTGAGAAGTCGACGCAACGACAGATCCCTTTGTGGGGAATGGTCGCGGTCCAAGCGTTCGTCACTAATGGCCCTGAGCCTGGTGTAGACTCATAAGACCAGTTCCACAGTAGTGGTCTGACTGCCTTGCTATCGTCGACACTACCCACAGTCGTCGACTGGGCAGTAGACCCATAAGTCCTACTGAGCGCTGATAGGCTGGCTACCAGACGCGCTCTGCACCAGCTCTGTAAGGGCGTATTTTTGCGCTTTTTACAGAGTTTACTCTTGAACCACTCGGTGTATTGTGTCGCGGTTAACAGTGTTGCGCTCAGTAGGACTTATGGGTCTACTGCCCAGTCGACGACTGTGGATAGTGTCGACGATAGCAAGGCAGTCAGACCACTACTGTGGAACTGGTCTTATGAGTCTACACCAGGCTCAGGGCCATTAGTGACGAACGCTTGGACCGCGACCATTCCCCACAAAGGGATCTGTCGTTGCGTCGACTTCTCAAAAAGGGTCATTCTCTGCAGATGGGAACTTGGGCTGAAGGGCTGAGCAATGCGCGACATTCTCAATAATAGAACTACTACTGGACAGGACTTGGCGTTACGAGACTTAAACCATCTTGTCGCGGCAACTCCCGGTTTTGAGTTGGACGTTTCCTCAGATCATGCCACGACGACGACTTGTCACATGTCAGGATCCATTCGATCACGGGACATTGTGGACGCGTCGCGGTGACACTTCCAAGTGTCACGGCGAGTCGCGCCCATACCCAAACACACTAGAAACCGACACGGTAAGATCCGTGAACCGAACCATGTGGGGGACGACTGGCGTGCCTAGGGCCATACGGCTTCTTGGGGCGCCCACGTTGGTCTCACTTGCCAAGACATACCCGTTGGCCAATCCAGCACGTCGTATTCCAAAAGTATGACGCGGTGAGTTGGCCCACATCAAAAGTATCATATGGACAATGGGGCGGGGTCCTGATCACTCAGGACCTGTCCGATCGTTCAACTTTTCAATTACCCTAAAAAGGCAACCAATCTTAGATAGCGTAGCTACTATGCAGTTGTACAGGACTTTACTAAGCAGCGTCGTAGACAGTATAAGTAGCACGTCGTCTCTTTGTATTAGGAAGCTTTCCCCCGGACTGTGAATCACTCTCATTTCAGATTGTTTTGTACAATTTGCGTGCCGCGTGATTCCACCCTAAGAAGTTCTGCTACCCCTGCCCGGTCGCGACGAGTTGCTCCCTGAGCACTTGTAGCTACTGTGATTTGAGTTTGAGTTGAGATATCAGAAAGTCGGGTTCGCCGCATCTGGTTTAGTCGCGGCACTTAGTGTCGTCGCCTTCGGGCTTTGTTGAGATCGTTCCACACCTCTAGCTTGGCAGTGCGTCGACTAGTTGTGCTCGGGTTGTTTTGGTCAGTTGGCAGTGCGTCGACTTGAGAACTTTGGTTCCACACTTCTTGCTTGGCAGTGCGTCGACAAGTTGTGCTCGGGTTTTGGACATTGGATATTGGCTGTTAGTTGGCAGTGCGTCGACGCGGCATCTTGGTTTACTAGTTGGCAGTGCGTCGACTCAGTACTTTTGGTTGTGTCAGTTGGCAGTGCGTCGACTTGACATTTTGGTTTACTAGTTGGCAGTGCGTCGACTCAGTATATTGGTTGCATCGGTTGGCAGTGCGTCGACTTGATATTTGGGCTTTGCGTCACCATCTAGACGCTGTCGCTACAAGGGATCTTAATACTTCGTATTAAGTTCTGACTTGTTATATTGTTTGTTTGTGGATTGGATTAGTGTTGGTTGTGTTCGTATAGAAGATATTGGTTGAGATACCATTGTTTGCTATATATAAATTCTTGTCGTCGACTTCGCCTCCGCGACTATTGGACCTGTGTCTATTGAGAGTTGTGATACTGGTGCTCTGTCCACCCCGAAGCCCTCGCATCTTTCACACACTGAGAAGCTGATTACGAGGAGTGTGAACGTGTTTTATATTTGGGTTTACTTTCATAGTAGATTCACTTGTGAGCACGCCCTCAGCATTTCATCTGGAGCCCACCGCGAGGGGCTTCTAAAGTTTCATAAACTTTAAAAATCAATAAACCGGATTCTTTACCGCGACGTCGGATAGAGGCCAAGGGTTTATCCCGCGAAGCAGTTTATTTCGATCCCAAGCTCCTGCGCGACCTAACGAGGACCAAGCGGAGATTGAGACTGAAGGAAACGCTTCAACCTCAGGACCTTTCGAAAAACCACGAAGGTCTGCAAGACATAAAACACCTTTGTATCTACCACCCTTGCCCTCCAAGGCAAAAGGAAAACAAAGAGTGGATTCGACGTCGAAGCTTCCAGCTTTAGACACAGCTACTTCGAGTTCGACGACAATCAGTCGATCTCAGACTAGCTCACAAACCCTCTCAGAATTGTCTAGTAGCGTCAACGCTACAAACACGAATTCTAACAACATCCCTACTTCCCCTGTGACTTCAGTCGCGACAACTATGGCTCCAAAGACTGGGTTCAAAATCCCTCAACCTTGGGACACAAGTAGACCTATACTTGATGAAAAGGATCCCCTGTCGATTGAGGCATATTTGCGTCACTGCGCGCAGATCGTGGAGGATGGTGGCATCACAGATGTCAAACAGGCAAAAAGCATGTACATCCGTTATTTGCCGTCGCGGCAAGTGATGGACGTATGGGAAGGTCTCGATACCTATTCCGACGACACGAAAACTGTCGCGGAGTTCGAGGCCGAAATATTAACAGGATACCCTGAGGTGTCCAAGCGAAAAACGGGGACCATGGCAGATCTAGACAGACTCTGTCGCGAGAACCGTGGAATCAAGATAACGGATGAGGGAGATTTGAAGCGTTTCGGCCTTCAAATGTACAGTCACTACAAGCGACTGTCAGTCCCTCCTGCCATTATTACCAACAAAGTCGCGTGTGAACGCTACATGCGTACTTTGGACTCTGAGTTCAGTACCGTCTTGAGGAACGCTTTGGCTACGAGTCAAGTATTCAACAAGCGCTACCAAACTCGCGCCGGGATAACAAATGCTAATGTCCCCGCGACTGGAGTCAATCGGCAGGACGACCCCATCCAGCTGAAAGAACTAATGACAATGGCGGAAGAAATGGCGTCGACGTTGAGTAACGAAGACGAAATTCCCATCATCGCGCGACCTCCCAAGGTTCGTTTCGACTATGAGACTAGTCCACCCAACCATGCTAAGGTTGAGGAGTTGGAAAACTCGATTTCCAACTTGAAGGACTCATTTCTTCTACACCAAAAAGAGCTACAGACTCAGTTGCAGGAAGCGCTGAAGACGTTCGTACAGACTGCTCGCGAAGCGCCCATACAGCGGTCGCGGCCAGTAGGCAACAACTCTTCTGTGCCCCACTTCGAAAGTCGCGCACAAGGAG